AAATATGACCCCAGTTAAAATTTTTGGTGATTTAAGGACACATAGACAAGGCATTTTGGTCAACAGCAAAGAGCAAATCCTCAATGCCCTTTAAAACAGGATCTATCAGGATCATTGGAGAAGTATGACAAATAATTCCAAAATCATAATTAATCCCAAACCAATATAACTTCATTGAAGACACTGTGCTTAGCACTGGGCCTTTCGTGTTTCAGATCTTTAATAAAATACATTTGTGTGTGTGTGTGTGTGTGTGTGAGAGAGAGAGAGAGAGAGGGAGGGAGAATGGGAGGACAGAATGTGTGTGTGAACTTCATATATAAATCTTCAATGTTCCCTGATGCCCAAGGGGCCAGGCTTCAGTGAGGACCTGGCTTCATTATGCTGTTTCACATATTCTCAGAATGCCTCATTCTAGGAAGCAAGTAACAAAGAGAAGGGTTGGGAAACCACAGAAAGTTCTAAAAATATATTCAGTGAAGTAAAATGAATTGCTGAGCGTCTCTGAACCAAAGAAATGAGTCCAACTACTTTAAATTCACACTCAAGAGTGGACCTCCTGTTTTTTAACCTTATCAGTTATTCCTTTTACTTACAAAGTTGGTTCCAAATGTTTATAAATAGTTCCAAAAATCACATCTATGGTTAAAGGGACAATATTTTTACTCACAAAATAATATTCAAAAGAATGCAGCCGGCCACGGTGGTGCACACCTGCAATCCAATTGACTTGGGAGGCTGAGGCAGGAGGATCGTGAGTTCGAAGTCAACCTCAGCAAAAAATGAGGTGATAAGCAATTCAGTAAGACCCTGTCTCTAAATAATATACAAAACAGAGCTAGGGATGTGTCTCAGTGGTCAAGTTCCCCTGAGTTCAATCCCTGGTACCCTCCTCCCAAAACAAAAGAAGGTAAATGCACAAAGTGCTGCAACATTTTGAGCATATAGAGACTTTTAGGAAACTACTTTGATTGCAGAGGTTCTAGATTGTTTAAAGAAGAAAACCATCTGCTTCACTTACAGTTGTGCCTTGCAATTTGTCAAAATACGTAATTGAGCTCATTTAGTGAACACTAGAGTTCCAGTGCTAATTAAGTTCCCTCTCCTTCAGTCAGGCTTAACTAGTCAGTAAGTTTCCAAATCCATCGCAGAGCAATCTCTTCTTCACACTGTCATCACTAGTTATTGACACTGTGACTGTATGGACCATATGAGCATCCAAGATTCAGCCTTAAGATATGGCTCTAAGCAGAGTTCGGCAAGCATCTGAAGATTCCAGGTGGGATATCTGAGTTAAATCTAACAAGTCACGGAAGCCCCAGTGTTGTATTTAGAAAGCCTGGGTATGTTGGCAGGAATCCTCTTTGTGAGACCCTGTTGCTCCAGTGCATGAATCTCAAGATATCAATAATCATGTGGAAAAAATAAGAAAGGAATCTGTGGATGACGGCATTCTTGGCTGGTGTAGGTAGTAGGTCCATCTTCCTCCTGAACTTTTCATGATGAAAAAATTCCTTTGAAGGCCAAGTTCCAAAAACTGGCCTCTGAGAAACCATGAGGATTGAACAGAGTTAGGAATCTTCTCTAGGAATCATCACCCCCCGAACCTAATTTATATCTTTCTAAAACAGATTAAACTTCATAGTAAAAAGGAAAATACATTGAATTCTCATCAAGTGCTAAGCATTATCCTAATATGATGTCATGTTACTCTCAGATACCTGTAATTGGCCCCATCTCACAGGTGTAGAAACAGACTCCAATTTAGAAAGTTTACCAAATTACAGGTAGTATGTCGAACTTATGATACTAAAATGATCCATCTGTCTTAATGTAAAGCTTAATTTTTTTCCTACTGAATCATAATCCATAGGCCAAGAACAGGTTCCTAAACTGCTCTTGGAGAAAAGACTTTTAACACATATCAGTGCCCCTGGATAAAGTCACAGGTATCTAAGCCGAGTTCATTGAGCAACACTGAAACAGGGGTTTCTAAGAATCACAGAACAACAACAAAATAGACACAGACACAGATTCTCTTGGGCCCAAAGGTAAATTCTCAATTTGAACCTAACAGGAAATAAAGCAGATTACTCTAAAATGGAGAAGGATCACCTTGAATAGGATTAGATGTAAAAACAAAAATTATCTGACATGAAATGGAAAAAGCAAAAGCTAGAACTTTCACACATGCAATTAAAGTTGCTTTTAATATTATTCAAAGGCACTTCTTCCTCTTGAAGACAATCCAGTGGCCAACAGTGCATAAGCTTCACCAAATGGGCCTCTAATCAAAGCCGCTGGTGGTTCCTGGTAGCTTAGAGCAACGTGAATTTGGAATAAGCCAAGGGTGATGAAAAAATAAGAAAGAAAGGACAACCAGACAGGAAATGTCATAGCCAAACTGTGCCCTAGCTCAGCATTGAGTCTTTGGACTAAATAACTTTTCAGAACCCGGGCAAGCAAGTCTCTGCTGATTATCAAATTCCTCCTTAGAACCCAGTACTTTGCTTCCTTTCCAAATGGTACTTATCATCTCTGAAATGGTGACAATAATTGTCCTTCAGAATTGCTGCTGAAATAATCTGAAATGCGTCCACTTGTACCCTGACACTAATAACACCTTGTAAGGGAAAACTGAAAGTGGGGAAACTTACCTAAGGACACAGACACCATGCGAGCCAGGACTGTCTTGCACAACAGTACGTACAATAAGACCCACTAAATCATAGGCCAAATTTTGTGATGTATGAATTATGTCTCAATAAAGGTGTTCTATTTTTAAAAGTCAGGATTTACCTTCCAGGCAATACTTTTGACAGAGAAATACTATTTCTGCCATAAAAGGCCTACTACTGGCTTCTAACTTGTTTTTACCAAACATGATCAAGCACCTCTTACATATTAAACCCTGTGCTTGGGCTGGTGTTGTGGCTCAGTGGTAGGACGCTCACCTAGCACATGCGAGACCCTGGGTTTGATCCTCAGCACCACATAAAAATAAATAAAAAAAGGTATTGTGCCCAACTACAATTTAAAAAAATAAATATTTAAAAAAACTGTGCTAGATGCTATGAAATATTTAGTAAAAATGAGCTTGCAATAATTACATAGTTTACTAAGCATTTCTTTCGTGCCACAAATTATTTTCATCAGTGAGGTTGATGTTGTTATTCCCATTCTTTAAATTTGGAAGCTGAGGCTGAAAAGCTTACTTGTTGCTCAAATAACACAGCTAGTAAAAGGCAGAGCTGAGATTTGAACTGAAGTCTTTCTTACTAAAAGTCTATAATTTATCTATATGGCATGCAAATGAGAAGAGGAAGAAAAACCTGAATGCAAAGGGTACAAAAGAGTAAATGGCAGAGTTCTGAGACTGGACAAACGATGGCGAGTTCCAGAGCTCTAAACTAGAATGCTGGAGTTGCTCTAAGGGGATGGCTTTAAAATTCTGTTTCAAGGTGGAGTCTGGGGCCTAAAAGTCTTCCTTAAGCAGAAATCATTTTAACAAAAACAACATTCTAAAAGATTCATACAATTGAGAATGACTATATATCAAGGGAAGACAACTTGCTCTATGGTTGTGCTGGTGTAAGACTCCCTGGCTGTGATAGCTCAGGGGCAAATTCATTAATATTTTGTGAACAGATGCTCATTCTGAGGATTTATCAAGCTCCAGACGTTGTCTAGATGATGAGGTGAATAAGATATGCTAACTGTCCCAAAGAAGTGCCCAGACAGGAGCTGATGAGCCCAGATACGAGGTGTACTGTGTGGTTAAATGGCAGGCCTTAGCATCAGGGAGCATGGTTTCTATCAGTGCTGCCACTGACTAGGTGTGAATTTGAACACACTTTTAAATTTCTTTATGCTTCCACCTCCTTATATGTAAGACGGGGATGACAGTGATACTGGCCTTACAAGGTTACTATGAGAAATAAATAGATAAGTTTGTAAAACCACCATGTCTAGAAGACAGTGAGCACTTTACAACAGCTACTCTCATAATCAACTGGTGGCAAAGTACAGAAGAGCTGGCTTGTCATGCCTAACATAGCTTTCTGATTATCTTTGCTACCTTCAAATATATTTGATATATTTTATGTAACTGACACTTTCCCAAGGGTTCTGTCCCAAAGAGACCAAATTACCAATGTATAACAGTGTGTGGGAAGAAAGCCCGCTCTAAATTCATCTTGAACACTTCTGAAAACATTATTTTATATACAGCCCATTTTACTTTGAAAGCCTACAAAAGAGCCTTCATAAGGCAAGAGAATGTTTCTTTTTCTTTCTTTTTTTTCTGCCTTGTACATTACTCTTTCATATTATTTGCATTTGACTGGACCTGACACACCTAAAATGGTCCAGAATTCTTGAACAAAAATTATGCAATAAATATACAGAGTAGCTAGTGAAATGGTTAAGAGCAATGGTGCTACAATAAAGTAGATATGATCCTGTTTTTTCCATCTTCTAGCTATGACTCTAAATACTTTTATACTTTCTAAACTTGTATCTTCATCTGTAAAATGAAATAAAAATACAGAAATGTTGTGAAGAGATGATATGGTATGTGAAATACTTTCAGCACACTAGAACATAGTAAAGTATTAATAAATGGAAGTTATAATTGCAAAAAGACATGAGTTAAGTAAACCTAGTAGCTTGGGTTCACTTTTAATTAAATAAGCATTTATTGTGCACCTGCCAAGTCTCTTACACTCTGCTACTTTCTGAGGGTACTAGATAAAGGAAATGAATTATGTGAATTCTCTAAAACAAAGTCTCTGCTTCTTACATGTCTATGACCCTAAAAAAAGTGTCCTGCAACATGTCCTCATACTGGAATGTGGGGCCCAGTGCCAGCCTTTCTGCAATCACCTTATAGATGAGAATGTGAAGAAGGAGGAAGATAAACATGTAGAGAGGTGGAGATAGATTTGATTGAAAATTATCAGCCCTTCCCACAGAGGACAGCACCCACATGTTATAAGGATCACCCACAAGCTATATAAGGATCACTATTTCAATCCACCATCACCCTGCAAGCTGCATCAGGCTCTATCCTACTTGTTCCTTTGGTGAACCAGGTAAGAGAAAATTTCATCCTGCTACCTCTGTGAACATCTGGTGTTGCCCATTGCAGAAATCCAAGAGTATGAGATAAGGCAGAGATTGTACAGATTTTGTCATTCTTTCCTTTTTTAGAGAAAGAGAAAGGAGAGAGAGAGAGAGAGAGAGAGAGAGGGAGGATAGAGGATGGGGGGTGAGAGAGAGAGAATTTTTTTAATATTTATTTTTCGGTTTTCGGTGGACACAACATCTTTGTTTGTATGTGGTGCTGAGGATCGAACCCAGCGCCCCACGCATGCCAGGCGAGCGCGCTACTGCTTGAGCCACATCCCCAGCCCTCGTTTTTTTCTTTTTGTTGCTTTTTTGTTGGTTGTTTTTGGGGTTAGCTTAGTTTATTCTGGGGTCTTTTTGGAATAAGTATACCTTTATGGAGAAGAATAATGAAAGTAAAAACTTGTCTTCTTTTAGGCCATTCCATACTCTGTTTTTGTTTTGTTGTATGTCATTTTTTTCTAGTCTGTGCAGCTCAAATAGGAAAGAGTCTAACATTGTGATAGAGTCTTTTCCTTGTTCAGTTCCTACTGCTTCAAGATCTAATTATCTGCTAGTCAAACTCCTGCCTCCATTGCTGAGCTTTTCTACCTGGTTAATGAAAAAGAACAGTGTTTGATCAAACGCTGAGACTGGCTAATTTTGCCATTTTTAATTTGCTGAGTTCAGGACTTGGGTCCAATTTACCTTCTGATGCCCAAAGGGGGGGATGCAGATGTCATGGTAGAAGGGCAGTAACTTTTGACTCAAGAACAGCAGCAGTAAAACTAGAGAGATTGGGGCAATGGTGTCTAGGTGGTTCTGGAAAATTTGGAAGCTCTAGGGCAATACCCAAGTCACAAAAGTACCCAAATTGTAGAGAGATTACATGTAGAGACTATATTCAATCACGATTAAAAATATGGAGACCTGAGATCTAGTCCCAGTTGGACCAGCAACATGCCATTACGTGAACTTAGCAAAGTAATTCAAAATTAATGAAGTTTTCACTATGTTGAACAGTGCTGTAAAATCCCTGATCCACACTTGTATTTGAGGCTTAAAAGAAACAGAAGGTTTAAAAAAAATCACGATATTAAAATGAGAACTGTGTGATGCTTAGATCCAACTCTGTTCTTTTTTGTTGAGAGAGAGAGAGAGAGAGAGAGAGAGAGAGAGAATTTTTTTAGTATTTTATTTTTTAATTTTTGGTGGACACAACATCTTTATTTTATTTTTGTGTGGTGTTGAGGATGGAACCCAGCACCCCGCGCATGCCAGGCGAGCGCATTACCGCTTGAGCCACATCCCCAGCCCCAACTCTGTTCTTGAACAATAAAATAAAATGAGAGTGCAGATGAACTAAAAGGAAAAAGAAATAATGATACTTTTTTGTTACTTTTTCATTCTAGGTTTACTTAAACTTGCAAAAAGATGACAGATCTTTTAAGAAGTGTTGTCACTGTCATAGATATTTTCTATAAATATACAAAGCAAGATGGGGAATGTGGCACACTGAGCAAGGATGAACTAAAGGAACTTCTGGAGAAGGAATTTCGTCCAATTCTGAAGGTAAGGATCATGTGCAAGGCCATAGGATCTTGCGGGTGCTCATTTATAGAACCAAGATTACCTAGAAAGGGCAAAGCTCCAAAGGTCTTTGAGAAAACACTATAAGAAGATTGTTTTGGACATTATAAAGTTTATTAAGGCACATGTATTTTCAAAAAGCCAATGTTTCTTCCTCACTTTTCTGTGTACTCCCACCTTATAGACATAGTCTTTCTCATGCACTCAGGTTTCTCTTCTGAAAAAGCAGAAAATAAATTTATACTAAGACATGAAATAATAAATTATCCCGTCAAGTAGGGGGAAATGTAGAGAGTCTGGATATTGTCCACAAAGGAGTTACCAATGTGGCCAGAGTGATTTAAAAAAAAAAAAAGTACTTTTTCCCATCTACTTGGGAAAGACTGTATTGACTTCAAAATAACATGTCCTAACAGAATAGGTTAACATGTATATTTAAAACTTATGTAAAACTAAGATATACCAGTTAACCGAACTTGGTTTCTTCCACTCCTTCCCATATGGCATACCTGAACACACAAACTTCTAGCTTAAATCCTTGAAATGTTTTCTTTGAAGGAGTCCAATAGTCTCTATTTTCTATTACTCCTTCATATTTACTAGGTCCTATTAACTGAAAGTAATACTTGATTGGACTAAAACTAGAGAATGTCAAGTACTTAGAGATCCATAGCCCTACTTGATTGTTTTAGCTGGTGATGTGGGCTACACTGATCAGGTCTCCCTTGGTATGTCACTTATATACAGAACCCAGATGATCCAGACACAGTAGATGTCATCATGCATATGCTGGATCGAGACCATGATCGAAGACTAGACTTTACTGAGTTTCTTCTGATGGTATTCAAGCTGGCCATGGCCTGCAACAAGGTTCTCAGCAAAGAATACTGCAAAGCTTCAGGGTCAAAGAAGCATAGGCATGGTCACCGATACCAAGAGGAAGAAAATGAAACAGAAGAAGAAGAAGAGGAGACACCAAGACGGAAAAAAGGTTACAGACATTCAAGTTGGAATGAGGGAGAGGAGCATGGATATAGTTCTGGGGGCTCGAGGGGTACTGCAAAATATAGACATGGGTCCAACTCCAGGAGGCTGAGAAGGCAAGGTGAATTATCCAGCTCTGAAGGATCTGAGAAAAGGTATCAGGGCTCTGGTTCTGGACACTCCTGGAGCAGTGGCAAAGAGAGACATGGTTCTAACTCCGGGGAACTACGGGAAAGAAACAAGTCATATGGTAGCCCCTCTAGGGAATCTGGGGAGGAATATGTATCTGGATCAAAGAGTCAGGGAAGGAAAAGTCATGGAGGTTTTTCACATGGACTAGAGACTAGTGAACATGAATCAAACTCTACGCAGTCAAGAAAGAGTGGAGGACAAAATCTTGGGTCTAGCTCTGAAGGTTCAGGAGACAGTAGGAGACAAAGTCATGAATGTGGTTATAGTAATTCAGGTGGGTGTGGAAGGCCACAAAATGCTTCTAGCTCTTATCAGACAAGTAGATTTAAAGGGCCAGGAAACCAATCTAGCTGTCCTCAGTCAGGTTGTCAATCAGGAAGTAGTGGAGGACAAGGTCATAGATGTGTCTCAGGAGGGCAGTCCTCTGGATATGGTCAATCTGATCCTAGTTCCTGCAGGCAGTCTTGTAGTCAGAGAAGATGTGAATCTAAACAATGTGGTCAACCACAAAACTGTGGAGGACAACAAGGAACAGGCTCAAGTCAGTCCTCTTGCTGTGCAAAATATGGCTGTGGAACAAGTCAGTCTTCTAGTTGTGGTCAACATAGATCTGGTTCTTGTAGACAGTCTTCAAACTCTCATCAAAAAGGGTCTGGTCCAAATGAATTTTCCAAATGTGGTCATCATGGGTCTGGTTCAGGTCAGTCCTGCAGCTGTGAACAACATGGACCAGGCTCGGGTCAGTCCTCTGGTTTGGGGCATCATGGGTCTGGCATAGGTCAGTCTTGCTGTGGCCAGTATGGGTCTGGCTCAAGTCAGTCTTCTGGTTGTGGTCAACACGGGTCTGGCTCAAGTCAGTCTTCTGGCTGTGGTCAACACGGGTCTGGCTCAAGTCAGTCTTCTGGCTGTGGTCAACACGGGTCTGGCTCAAGTCAGTCTTCTGGCTTCGGGCAGCACGGGTCTGGCACGGGCCAGTCCTCTGGCTTCGGGCAGCACGGGTCTAGCTCTGGCCAGTCCTCTGGCTTCGGGCAGCATGGGTCTGGCTCGGGCCATTCCTCTGGCTTCGGGCAGCCCACGTCTGGCTCTGGCCATTCCTCTGGCTTCGGGCAGCACGGGTCTGGCTCAGGCCGGTCCTCTGGCTTCGGGCAGCACGGGTCTGGCTCGGGCCGGTCCTCTGGCTTCGGGCAGCACGGGTCTGGCTCGGGCCATTCCTCTGGCTTCGGGCAGCACGGGTCTGGCTCGGGCCAGTACTCTGGCTTCGGGCAGCACACGTCTGGCTCTGGACAGTCCTCTGGCTTTGGGCAGCATGGGTCTGGCTCGGGCCAGTCCTCAGGCTTCGGGCAGCACACATCTGGCTCAAGTCAGTCCTCTGGCTTCGGGCAGCACACCTCTAGCTCTGGCCAGTCCTCTGGCTTCGGGCAGCACGGGTCTGGCACGGGCCACTCCTCTGGCTTCGGGCAGCACGGGTCTGGCTCTGGCCAGTCCTCCGGCTTCGGGCAGCACGGGTCTGGCTCTGGCCAGTCCTCCGGCTTCGGGCAGCACGGGTCTGGCACGGGCCAGTCCTCTGGCTTCGGGCAGCACGGGTCTGGCACGGGCCAGTCCTCTGGCTTCGGGCAGCACGGGTCTGGCTCTGGCCAGTCCTCTGGCTTCGGGCAGCACGGGTCTGGTACGGGCCAGTCCTCTGGCCTAGGGCAGCACCGGTCTGGCTCTGGCCATTCCTCTGGCTTCGGGCAGCACACGTCTGGCTCTGGCCAGTCCTCTGGCCTCGGGCAGCACGGGTCTGGCTCGGGCCAGTCCTCTGGCTTCGGGCAGCACACGTCTGGCTCTGGCCAGTCCTCTGGCTTCGGGCAGCACACGTCTGGCTCGGGCCAGTCCTCTGGCCTCGGGCAGCACGGGTCTGGCTCGGGCCAGTCCTCTGGCTTCGGGCAGCACACGTCTGGCTCTGGCCAGTCCTCTGGCCTCGGGCAGCACGGGTCTGGCTCGGGCCAGTCCTCTGGCTTCGGGCAGCACACGTCTGGCTCTGGCCAGTCCTCTGGCCTCGGGCAGCACGGGTCTGGCTCTGGCCAGTCCTCTGGCTTCGGGCAGCACACATCTAGCTCTGGCCAGTCCTCTGGCTTCGGGCAGCACGGGTCTGGCTCGGGCCAGTCCTCTGGATTCGGGCAGCACGGGTATGGCTCGGGTCAGTCCTCTGGCTTCGGGCAGCACACGTCTGGCTCTGGCCAGTCCTCTGGCTTCGGGCAGCACACGTCTGGCTCTGGCCAGTCCTCTGGCCTCGGGCAGCACGGGTCTGGCTTGGGCCAGTCCTCTGGCTTTGGGCAGCACGGGTCTGGCACAGGCCAGTCCTCAGGTTTTGGGCAGCACGGGTCTCGCTCTGGCCAGTCCTCTGGCTTCGGGCAGCACGGGTCTGGCATGAGACAGTCCTCAGGATTCGGACAGCATGAGTCTGGCTCTGGCCAGTCCTCTGGTTTGGGGCAGCATGGGTCTGGCTCAGGTCACTCCTCTTGCTGCGGGAAGCACACTTCCGGCATGGGCCAATCCTCAGCAGGATCCACTGATTCAGAGAGACAGGAAACATCTCATGGACAGTCTAGAGACACCACTAGACGTTCACAGTCTGGGCAGAGACAATCCACACGCTCTGGATCCAGACCAACTCCACAAAGGACGCCTATTCACACTGAGTCCAGTGAGAGTGAAGAGCACTCAGGCGTCTCCCAGAAACACTCAGGATCCTCTCAGGGCCACGCTGGATCTCAACATGGAGAGGCAGGATCCACTCATTCACAGAGACAGGGAACATCTCATGGACAGTCTTGGGACACCACTAGACGTTCACAGTCTTCGCAGAGACAATCCACACACTCTGGATCCAGACCAACTCCACAAAGGACGCCTATTCACACTGAGTCCAGTGAGAGTGAAGAGCACTCAGGCGTTTCCCACAGACACTCAGGATCCTCTCAGGGCCATGTTGGATCTCAACGTGGAGAGGCAGTATCTACACATTCAGAGAGACAGGGAACATCTCATGGACAGTCTTGGGACACCACTAGACGTTCACAGTCTTCGCAGAGACAATCCACACACTCTGGATCCAGACCAACTCCACAAAGGACGCCTATTCACACTGAGTCCAGTGAGAGTGAAGAGCACTCAGGCGTCTCCCACAGACACTCAGGAACCTCTCAGGGCCATGTTGGATCTCAACATGGAGAGGCAGGATCTACACATTCAGAGAGACAGGGAACATCTCATGGACAGTCTCGGGACACCAGTAGACGTTCACAGTCTTCGCAGAGACAATCCACACACTCTGGATCCAGACCAACTCCACAAAGGACGCCTATTCACACTGAGTCCAGTGAGAGTGAAGAGCACTCAGGAATCTCCCACAGACACTCAGGATCCTCTCAGGGCCATGCTGGATCTCAACATGGAGAGGCAGGATCTACTCATTCTCAGAGACAGGGAACATCTCATGGACAGTCTCGGGACACCACTAGACGTTCACAGTCTTCGCAGAGACAATCCACACACTCTGGATCCAGACCAACTCCACAAAGGACCCCTATTCACACTGAGTCCAGTGAGAGTGAAGAGCACTCAGGCGTCTCCCACAGACACTCAGGATCCTCTCAGGGCCACGCTGGATCTCAACATGGAGAGGCAGGATCCACACATTCAGAGAGACAGGGAACATCTCATGGACAGTCTTGGGACACCACTAGACGTTCACAGTCTTCGCAGAGACAATCCACACACTCTGGATCCAGACCAACTCCACAAAGGACGCCTATTCACACTGAGTCCAGTGAGAGTGAAGAGCACTCAGGCGTCTCCCACAGACACTCAGGATCCTCTCAGGGCCACGCTGGATCTCAACATGGAGAGGCAGTATCTACACATTCAGAGAGACAGGGAACATCTCATGGACAGTCTCGGGACACCACTAGACGTTCACAGTCTTCGCAGGGACAATCCACACGCTCTGGATCCAGACCAACTCCACAAAGGACGCCTATTCACACTGAGTCCAGTGAGAGTGAAGAGCACTCAGGCGTCTCCCACAGACACTCAGGATCCTCTCAGGGCCACGCTGGATCTCAACATGGAGAGGCAGGATCCTCACACATTCAGAGCGGACACTAGGACAGTCTCAGGACAGACATCTCATGGACAGTCTTGGGACACCACTAGACGTTCACAGTCTTCGCAGAGACAATCCACACACTCTGGATCCAGACCAACTCCACAAAGGACGCCTATTCACACTGAGTCCAGTGAGAGTGAAGAGCACTCAGGCGTCTCCCACAGACACTCAGGATCCTCTCAGGGCCACGCTGGATCTCAACATGGAGAGGCAGGATCTACTCATTCTCAGAGACAGGGAACATCTCATGGACAGTCTCGGGACACCACTAGACGTTCACAGTCTTCGCAGAGACAATCCACACGCTCTGGATCCAGACCAACTCCACAAAGGACGCCTATTCACACTGAGTCCAGTGAGAGTGAAGAGCACTCAGGCGTCTCCCACAGACACTCAGGATCCTCTCAGGGCCATGTTGGATCTCAACATGGAGAGGCAGTATCTACACATTCAGAGAGACAGGGAACATCTCATGGACAGTCTAGGGACACCACTAGACGTTCACAGTCTGGGCAGAGACAATCCACACGCTCTGGATCCAGACCAACTCCACAAAGGACGCCTATTCACACTGAGTCCAGTGAGAGTGAAGAGCACTCAGGAATCTCCCACAGACACTCAGGATCCTCTCAGGGCCATGCTGGATCTCAACATGGAGAGGCAGGATCTACTCATTCTCAGAGACAGGGAACATCTCATGGACAGTCTTGGGACACCACTAGACGTTCACAGTCTTCGCAGAGACAATCCACACGCTCTGGATCCAGACCAACTCCACAAAGGACGCCTATTCACACTGAGTCCAGTGAGAGTGAAGAGCACTCAGGCGTCTCCCACAGACACTCAGGATCCTCTCAGGGCCATGTTGGATCTCAACATGGAGAGGCAGGATCTACACATTCACAGAGACAGGGAACATCTCATGGACAGTCTAGGGACACTAGTAGACGTTCACAGTCTTCGCAGAGACAATCCACACGCTCTGGATCCAGACCAACTCCACAAAGGACGCCTATTCACACTGAGTCCAGTGAGAGTGAAGAGCACTCAGGAATCTCCCACAGACACTCAGGATCCTCTCAGGGCCATGTTGGATCTCAACATGGAGAGGCAGTATCTACACATTCAGAGAGACAGGGAACATCTCATGGACAGTCTAGGGACACCACTAGACGTTCACAGTCTGGGCAGAGACAATCCACACACTCTGGATCCAGACCAACTCCACAAAGGACGCCTATTCACACTGAGTCCAGTGAGAGTGAAGAGCACTCAGGCGTCTCCCAGAAACACTCAGGATCCTCTCAGGGCCACGCTGGATCTCAACATGGAGAGGCAGGATCCACACATTCAGAGAGACAGGGAACATCTCATGGACAGTCTCGGGACACCAGTAGACGTTCACAGTCTTCGCAGAGACAATCCACACACTCTGGATCCAGACCAACTCCACAAAGGACGCCTATTCACACTGAGTCCAGTGAGAGTGAAGAGCACTCAGGCGTTTCCCACAGACACTCAGGATCCTCTCAGGGCCATGTTGGATCTCAACGTGGAGAGGCAGTATCTACACATTCAGAGAGACAGGGAACATCTCATGGACAGTCTAGGGACACCACTAGACGTTCACAGTCTGGGCAGAGACAATCTACACGCTCTGGATCCAGACCAACTCCACAAAGGACGCCTATTCACACTGAGTCCAGTGAGAGTGAAGAGCACTCAGGCGTCTCCCACAGACACTCAGGATCCTCTCAGGGCCACGCTGGATCTCAACATGGAGAGGCAGGATCCACTCATTCACAGAGACAGGGAACATCTCATGGACAGTCTAGGGACACCACTAGACGTTCACAGTCTTCGCAGGGACAATCCACACGTTCTGGATCCAGACCAACTCCACAAAGGACGCCTATTCACACTGAGTCCAGTGAGAGTGAAGAGCACTCAGGAATCTCCCACAGACACTCAGGATCCTCTCAGGGCCACGCTGGATCTCAACATGGAGAGGCAGGATCCACTCATTCAGAGAGACAGGGAACATCTCATGGACAGTCTAGGGACACCACTAGACGTTCACAGTCTTCGCAGGGACAATCCACACACTCTGGATCCAGACCAACTCCACAAAGGACGCCTATTCACACTGAGTCCAGTGAGAGTGAAGAGCACTCAGGCGTTTCCCACAGACACTCAGGATCCTCTCAGGGCCATGTTGGATCTCAACGTGGAGAGGCAGTATCTACACATTCAGAGAGACAGGGAACATCTCATGGACAGTCTAGGGACACCACTAGACGTTCACAGTCTGGGCAGAGACAATCTACACGCTCTGGATCCAGACCAACTCCACAAAGGACGCCTATTCACACTGAGTCCAGTGAGAGTGAAGAGCACTCAGGCGTCTCCCACAGACACTCAGGATCCTCTCAGGGCCATGCTGGATCTCAACATGGAGAGGCAGTATCTACACATTCAGAGAGACAGGGAACATCTCATGGACAGTCTAGGGACACCAGTAGACGTTCACAGTCTTCGCAGGGACAATCCACACGTTCTGGATCCAGACCAACTCCACAAAGGACGCCTATTCACACTGAGTCCAGTGAGAGTGAAGAGCACTCAGGAATCTCCCACAGACACTCAGGATCCTCTCAGGGCCACGCTGGATCTCAACATGGAGAGGCAGGATCCACTCATTCAGAGAGACAGGGAACATCTCATGGACAGTCTAGGGACACCACTAGACGTTCACAGTCTTCGCAGGGACAATCCACACACTCTGGATCCAGACCAACTCCACAAAGGACGCCTATTCACACTGAGTCCAGTGAGAGTGAAGAGCACTCAGGAATCTCCCACAGACACTCAGGATCCTCTCAGGGCCACGCTGGATCTCAACATGGAGAGGCAGGATCCACACATTCAGAGAGACAGGGAACATCTCATGGACAGTCTAGGGACACCACTAGACGTTCACAGTCTTCGCAGGGACAATCCACACGCTCTGGATCCAGACCAACTCCACAAAGGACGCCTATTCACACTGAGTCCAGTGAGAGTGAAGAGCACTCAGGCGTCTCGCACAGACACTCAGGATCCTCTCAGGGCCACGCTGGATCTCAACATGGAGAGGCAGGATCCACTCATTCAGAGAGACATCAAACTGGTCATGAAGAGTCCCAAGGTAGTACTAGACACGCTCATTCTGGCCTTGGACAATCCCCAGAGAGTAGTTCCCACATAACTCCAAGAAGATCACCTGTTCATAATGAGTCCACTGACAGCGAACATAAATCAGCCATCTCACAAAGACACTCAGCATCCGCTCATAGCCATGCTGGATCTCAACATGGTGAATTGGGATCTGGTCACACACAACCACATAATATTCACCAGCAGTCAAGAGATAGTGTCAGATCACAATCAAGTAGTATTTATGGTCAGTCTGGAAGAAGACATTTTGAGTCACAGAACAACAGGAAACAAAGCCATGGATCAGGTCATCGTTGGAGACACGGCAGCTATGGTCGTTCAGAATATGACTATGGGCAATCTGGTTATGGACCTTCTGGGCATAGCAGAAGTAGCAGTCGCACTTCTAGCCCTTTGAGGTCAACAGACAGACCTATAAGTACTTCCGTGTCTACACATGGACAATCCTTTTCTATATCTGACCAAACTGAATTCAAAGCAACTGGAAGAGAAGGAAGGCAGGTTTCAAAGCATGGACAGTTTGAAGCAAGTCAAGGGCAGTTAGTTGATTCCCAGGAACAGTCTGGATCCCGTATAACAAGACAAGGATCTAATCATGCCCATTCTGTAATAACCTCTGAACAGTCAAGTAACACAAATGTTCAGTGTCAATTTGGTACAATCGGAAATCAGGGTTCTATTCACAGCCCATCATATGACCAGTCTGGATCTAATGATAGACAATACATGTCATTTTCTTCTACTAGAAAGCAATCTGGTTTCACTAATGAGAGGCAAAAATATAGCCAGAGCCAACCAAGTAACACCTATGAGCAATCAATTGACAACATAACAGGAAGTCAAAGATCCTTTTCTAATTATTCACTGTATAGTCAAGACCCTATGGGATCTGAAGAGTATAGGTATTTATCAAGAAATTCAACCATATTGGGTGGGGGAAGTCAAGAGCAAGAGTCCGGATCTAATCCATCTGGTGGCATTAGTAGGTACAGTCAGGATGTAGATGATACGCAGACAAGAGGCTCTGAGGCAAGAGATTACCACAGGAAGGCAAGAATGGACTCAGGTTCCCTCTACATAGATAGCAGTACGCCACTCTACGAGTATGTCCAAGAACAAAGGTGCTATTATTTTGAATAAAAAGTAAGGAGAAAATAAAATAACCAACGATAAGAACCCAAGGAAATATGAGACATACAATAAGAAAATAAGATATTTAATAGATTCCTTCTTTTGGTAGTAGGGCTTGTATGTCTGCTCTTCTATATCAACTATAATACTGTACTCTTATTAATTTTGTTGTTGGTGCTGGTCTTTTTGTAAAGCTCCATAATCACTGAGCTCCTTGGATAGAAAATAGTGAATGGAAGAAATAAACAGCATTTCGACCTACATTCAGAAGTATATAATAAAGTGATCTGTATATTTAAGGACACAAATGAGTCTTAAAGATTTTTTTGAGAAACAAAATTTGGATTTTCCAGATTTTGTTTTAATTGATTATTAACAAACCTATCCAAGAAGCTAAGAGATATAGTGTAAGAATCAAAATTTCTTTAATAACAATGTAACACATTTCATGTCCTGAAGAAGGAATGTGGTAGTTTTCTAGGTGAAGGTTCAGAATATTTTCATCTTTTTGTGTCACCATTGGGATTCTGTACACTTTTGAATTTATTGTCATTCCTTCCTGGATATAAAAACAAAAAAAAAATTGCATTGCATTAAAATTGATAACAAACTTTTCTTCAAAGCATAGTTTCTCTTTTGTTTCATACCCACA